TGAGTCGTATCTTTGAATGAAAGGATGTTTCGCTTTCTATTGTAATTTCATATTGCTTTATCCGAAATCAAAAGATGTTCATTTGAAAATATTATTTGACATTGCATCTTTCTTTATTAAGGAAATATAATGGCAAATTCATTCAACAAAATTTTACAAAAATTGATCAAATTTCAAAGCATGATAGATAAATGCTAGAGTTAATTCTTCAATTCATAAAAGCCAATTATACATCCCTCCTAATAACCTTTCCGAGCGAGAAAGTAATGGGCCAATCCTCTATTTTATTGGAAAAAACAAAAATAACAAAAAAAAAAAAAAGAGATAGTCTTTATCCTTTCTCAAACTAAACCTTTGAAGGAAACATTTTGCCTAAGAAAACATCATGAAGCCCAAAGGAAAGACTCAATGATTGATGTCTTAAATAATGATGAATACTATATCTTCAAGTCATGATCTCAAATAACATTCATCATTTTTTTATTTTAAGGTTGTCCGAATAAATCATCATTGTTTAAGAAAGATTAGTGTCTAATGACATAGGCAAATCAGTATTTGAGATGAGGAAAGGTCATCTTTCATAGGTCTATGAAAATTTTATCCCTTTTTGTCCCATTTTGAGCCTAATGATTTCTTTCACTATAACCTAAACTAGGATCATCCCTTACATCGGGGTTAGGATATACAGATCCGTCGATGGTCAATGGAACTCTAAAAAATTTTCTTCAAAAGAATCCTATCAATGATTCTAAAAAAATAAAAATAAAAAGAGGAATAAAAAAATGAAAGAAGCAAAGAAAAAGATTTCCCTAATATGAAAAAAAAAATCAAAAATCAAGATAAAAGTCGAGTCTAGACTAACAAACGAAGAGAGTTGAGACTAAGAAACAAATTCAATAGTCAAAATGATAAAATCCATGTGGTAAGCCTAAAAAAACATTCATAGGCATCGAGATGACATAATAGCCCAACTAACGACTAAAGAGACAAGTCCAAGCGACATTGCCTTAAGAGATTTTCTTGGATATCAAAGTGATCCTATGTTATGAAACCCTTGAAACACTTTTTGAGCCTCTATATCCTTTTCTTCATAAGCCTAAGCCATAGCCTACATTACATACTTTTACAAGCCCTTTCGATCAAAGACAGTTTGCTTAGGTTGTTGGATTCTAATTAAAAAAAGAGATGATTAGGAAAAATAAGAAAATATGATTAGTCGATGTATTATTTATCATCTTTTATGGCATTGAATCATGAGTCATCATCAACTAACTTGGGAGTAAATAAACGGAATCAAGATTTTCTCTTGTAAAATTATCCTTCAAAATCAATTTTTCAAAATACTTTCTACACGAACCTCTTTTCTTTATCCAAAATGGACTTAAAATGTGACTAGTTACCTTCAAACACGTGAAAAGTCAACTTCCATGCAAACTTTGCGTGAAAAGTCAACTAGTTGACGAAACTTTCAAGTCGACGAGTAAAGGGAGATACAACCTATGTTTAGACGATTTACATGTTTCTATAGTATGTTGTTCTTACTACAAAGCAAGAAACTTTGGTCTTAATCATGCAAAAGAACAAATTCTCTAGGCAAAAACTAATGATGCTTGGTTTGAAAGAACATCGCGAGTAGTATTGGCAAAAAGAAGAAACTTACAATATTTCCACTTCAACATAATTATGAACTTTTCAAAACGAGCTCTAAATATGTTAGAAAAAGTCCATATCATCCTATTATTATTCAAGATCAAAATCCAAGTTCAATCAACATGGATTTAAGAAGAGTTGGACTAAAGATTTTTAAATAACATAGACTAAATAGGCCAAAGAGTTGGTCGTAAAATCAAGGCAAGAATGGATCAAAAATCGAGGTTGTGTTTTCTTTAACCTAGAGTGCTTAACACAGAGTGTGTCCTATGAATTCGTGTAGGTCTAAAATTCATATATGAATGGATCAAGAGGTTTCTTTCTTATATGGCCAAATTTGAAATTTAGATGCAGATTGTCCGTTAGGTTTGGCTTACCTTAATTTTTGTTGGGAAAGTTAACCTAAATCAGGATTTGAATATAAAAATGACGTTCTTTATTTATTTATGTAATAAGAGTCATAATACTAATAAAAAAAAAGGTGAGACTAGAGTTTGTACTTCATGTTGGATGAGTTTTCTTTGGTCTTATCTTATCTTGTTATAGTTGAATTTTACAAAGAGAAATTGATACTTGTATGGTCGGCCCTAACTAGTATAAATAGAGATCTTATGCTTATAAAGAAACACACGTAAATATTGATTAATAAACTCTTGAGAAGTTTCTCTAAAGACTTGAAATTCTTGTGCATTGCTTAGTTTTTTTTTTTTCTCTCGCATTCGGGCTTGATCAATCAAGATTGTGCTATCGATCAACCAAACTAATCAAGGGTGAGTGGGGTTTCTAGCCTCATCAAAATCATACGAGGTCACGTCACTTAGCAAGATTATAGTGGAGTTTGTCAAGAACTTTGCTAAATTCGATCAAAAGCTAAGGTTTCTCATCTATTCAAGTTTTGGCCTATATAATTCTAAAGGTTGGAATTTCTTTCATCTATTAATTTTCAAGAAAAAAGTCACGAGATAAATCCTTAATCCTTTAAGGAATTCAATTCAATAACAACATAAAATAATTTAGAAACATTGGGCTTGTTTCACTTTATTACAAAAAAAGGTGTCATTGCTATTGCCAACTTGTGAGTTTTGATATTGTAGTCGTTCATAGTACTCGAGCAAGTTGGTGTTGTTAGCATTGTTATTAGAATTAGGTGAGATATCATCATTATTATGGGTGGTTAAACTAGTTATATGATTGGTATTCTTTTAAGTGGTCTTAAAAAATTCATTATTCTTTCACAATCACTAGCTTTCTAATGGAATCGTCAAAAAAATTATGAGGGGGTTCCATGAGAACTTACCAAATGACGAGTGAACATGTCGATCTAGATGCAAAAAAATTAGTGTTGTGACTTGTAAAAGTAATGGTCAACCAATTAAGTAAAATGAATGCAAATAATAATAAGTGTGAGAAGAGGAACATCCAATGGTGGCAAGGCGTAAGTTGAATGGTAGGTAGGTGGGTGGTCAAAGTCCCAATTAATAAAGCTTTAGGTGATGTGTGATATGAGAAAGAGGGTTTTAAGAGAAAAGAGAGAGAGTTCAAAGATTTAGCTAAAGATAAAAATGTTGGAATCCCTTCACAAGGTTGGTATTTGGAATCCTTCACAAGGTTGGTATTTATAGTAAGTCCGATCATTAGGATCATTAGTAAAAAGAGAATGGCGTTATATGGACGGTGAGATTCAAGTTGAAGAAATTGAGTTCTTGTAAACTACACTACTTTAACTTGCTAGTAAGAACTACACTACTTTAATTTGCTAGGAAAAACTAAATAAAATAAAAATTGCGTTTTTTTTAGTGGACACCGAATCGAGCCACCAAGCCTACTATCTTCCTAATGCATCCCAAAAATAAAAAATAACTAATTTGAGCCGCCAAGCCTATCTATCTTCTTAAAGCATCTCAAAAAATAAAACATAAATATTATCCTACTAGAATATACGTGTCCACTCTTGCACGACCTAAAGCTTTATGCTAAGAGAGAACTCATCATTAGTTCAATGTATATAATGTACAACTTGGACCTTCATGTTAAAACCAAAATAATAATAATAATTAGTAAATAATAAAATTACTTAATTATTATTTATTATTTTCAAGTGCATGTACAACTTCAAGGAACATCAGATTTTATGATAAATAAATAGATCTGAGATTAGAAGCTACCAATAGCCCAAGGATAAGGTATTTCTGGGAGGAGGATAATATTATGTATTGTCGGCTAAATTAAAATGTTGAACTTTGACATTAAAGGCTAGAATTGTTAGCCAAGAAGGAAAGGAAAAAAAAAAAAAAAAAAAAAAAAAGAAGGTAAAATGTTAAATCATTTTATATATAACAAAACCACAATCGTTCATGGTAAATATTAATAGTGTAGATTAAACTAATATGATTTACCCAATCCGAGAGGTTAGCAAGATGATTAAGATTCAAAATATAACTTTGAATCCATCTTTTTATAGAAGCGTAAATATGGCGAACAAAATAATAGTAAGTCATATTTGAGCTTTCTTATGGCTAAAAGACGCAAGAGCAAACACAAAATTCAGCCGCACTGCAGCAGCTTTGTGCTAGAGAGAGATCGTTTGTAACCCAACCCTGTGCATTTTTTTATCAAAATATTAGTTAAATGCCTTCAAAGATATTGATAAAGGCACCGAAAAGACCAAGTACCAACATGTGTTGAACCATATGTTTCATACATCCTGTTCGACTATTTTGAATGCCCTTTCAGTACCTTTGAAGGCTTCGAGAAAGGCACCATAAAATCTGCAACTCTGTTGGGTAGAAATATTAGTGATATTCTAAGATTTGCTTTCTGAAACTACGACCTTACTCAACTCATTTTAGCACAATACTCATGAGCATACCGTACCAAACCAAACTTTAAGATGAAGGCGCTGCAACATACAAAATATTGATCGGTATTTGATATCACAGATAGCAAAAGAAAACATCATGCGGCACTACCATTCCATGTTAAATACAACTTCCACTTCTTGATACATAATAAGTCCAGTACAAAAGCTTTGCACACCAAAAGGAATTCAGTGAAAGCACTTACAGGGTATTTCTGAAGCCAAGCAACTCTATGTATAGAACAACAGCCATAGACGCCTAAAATGCTATTTGGAAACACAAACACTTTGCAGTGATTTATGAATTCCAAGAACAGTTTGAACCAAAACAAAAGGAGGGGGTGGACTATGAACTCCTGTGCTTGAAGGCTCAAGGATAATATGGCAAAATACTCGGACCTTAAAACATAAGGGGACTCAGGCTGCAAAATGTAAAGTTTGGAAAGACACTTATCAGATCAGCCTTTAGTTCTCATAACAGTAATACTTCCTATCAGCCTTTAGTTCTCATAATTGTAATACTTCCTTTCCCTCCCTCTGTGCGAATTTTAGTTTTGCCAACAACAGGCTTCCCAGAAAAAGCGGACATAGGGTAAGAAATGGGATCTTCATTCTTTTGCTTTGATTTTGATGGTGGAGTGCGAATCCGTTGGTTTATTTCATTCAGCGTAACATCTCCGTGAACTCCACAGGGTTTGATGAAAGCAAATGGATAGGCAACAGAAGTAGCTAACTTAGTGGGTGTCTGGATGAAGGACTTGGTACCTGAGATAAAAACAGAAACTCAGGCATAGTTACTTTCTCTTTTTTAATTTGTTGTATAATATAAAATCTCCATAAAAAGCAGGAAAGAAATCCAGTATTCTCCATAAAAAGCAGGAAAAAAATCCAGTTATCTCCAAAGAGCATAAATAACATTCAGAATAAGGCCATGAATGTTATAGTGGTATGGTACTTCTATGCTTTATATTGCTCCCTCTTTTCCTCCTTTGTCGGCCAGAAGGAAACAGAAACCAGAACAAAGGAAAAAAAAAAGATATCAAACTAAAATGACCCCAAAGAGAGAGACTTCTAAGTCATCAAAGGATACCTAATGAACAAGGGGTTATAGCACATACTAAGCTTAGTAGATACAAGCCAAAATAAAGGAGGAGGAATATTTAAGAACAGAGAGACACCTTTAAAAATAACATTTCGAGGGGTCCGAGTAACACGTTTCTGAACCACATTAGCTTCGAACTCAGGTGGGTCATTGCAGAAATCTACAGCAGCAAACTAACATTTATACACTTTACATAGCACGTAAATGCTTCATAAAAAAAGGACTCGAACACATTTATACCTGAAATATCAATTTGAATATCAGATGCTCCAGGGAAATTCCTGAGTCTCACACAACAAAAACAATAAGATTGTAGTTGAATAGTAATAAGGTGTAGAAGTCTAAAGTTCAAACAAAGCATACATGTAATTGGGACTAGAATGCATCTCTGAGTCATTAAAACAGTCTGCAATCCAACCCTCAGATGACTGATCCAGGCCATTGTAACTGGAGGCAGACAAATCTACAAAAATATGATGCATTGTGATTAAAGAACCCAGTATAGAGATTCAAGTCCATGAATGGTTTAGCACAGACCTTGATATCCAGAATCCCACTGTGATGCTTGAGGGAAAACTTCTTCAAGTGACTCTTCTGTCCCCTAAAGATAGAACCAAAAACATAGATCATGGAAATTTTCAATACGAATATACCTTTATCTAAAGTAAATAGATTGCACATTCTCCATCATAAAATATTATGGGACAATATGAAGTCAAAGAAAGAAGATGTTCAATTAGCTCAATCCTTCATTTATGAAAGATCTAAAAACTGCATTCTTGGCAATATTCTCATAGCTCCATACCCATTTACATTAGATAACTAACTAAGATTAATCACCATACCCACAACAAATGGTTTGCATATGCATGCACATTATATGACTTTCATACTAACAATGTAAAACTAGAATTAGCATAAAATTCAAATTTCACATTGTTTGCCACAACGTTCCCAATGTACCAAGGAAGTCCTGAATTCAAATTCCAATGAGTTGGATGCGGAGGGCTGATGAGATAGAGGACTACATCTCATGCTGTACCAAAGGCCCATAGACCTCCCAATGTACCACAACCAAATTAAAATAACAACATGCTTTAGTCATGAGTGGATATATAAGCAACACTGACATTTGATTTTAAAAACACAGAAGTTATTTCTTCATCACAAAAGGGGGAATCTTCTAATTGAGTGTCAAACTGTAGCCGACGCCTTTTTAATTGCAAACAAGTCTCCCTCTGTTCTTCTGGTTCCTTGTTCACGTTATCTGAAATCCACTCTTACAAATAAGAAAGAATAAAAAGCAAATAGCAATTACCAAAAAACAACAAATGTAACAAAGAAAAAAGAAAAAAGGTAAGGGTACTAACTCCATACCATTATGATTAACATGGTACGCCAAATCCCCGCAAGCCTTAACAGGTGTTGTTTCATCAAGCATGTAGGAAAGATCTTCGCCATTCAGAGTCACTTCGTTCCATAAACATTGAGATACGCCTATTCAAAATAATAAGGGCAACAAAGGCATCATTAACTTCATTTATTTTTGCTGTTTCATCCTAATGGTAGGTGCAGCAATATATCTTCTCTTAAGAGCAAATAAGGAGGCACAGCAGCTGCAACTTACCACCATTGGAATCTTTCTGGAGGCAGTAATCCCCACCTTGCCAACCCCAATGTTCCCCATTGCCACTTCAAAATGCAAAGAAGAAAACAAATTTAGGATTATGCAAATGCGTATCTAAGATTTTAACAAGAAGCATAAGAAATTCACAAGGAAAATTTAGCATAATCAACACTTCATTGTAGTACATGATTGGTAAAAATATATCACAGGTTAAGAAGGGATGAAGCAGTAAAAGTAAAGCATAATCACAAACTACACATGCAAAAATCAAACCCAAAATGGAACATACACCAGCAACATAAAAAAAAACAGCAAAGAATACAAATAGTTACATACTATGGAGAAACAGAAAAGGCAGTAAAATTGCAGCAATTAGATCAAATTGCCTAGTCCTAACCACGCATAAAAAAATAAAGAGGAATTACCGAATAAAGGAATATAACCATCGTTAGGATCCCTTAGCCCAGATGATAGCATTATATCGTAATCTTTGTTTAGGTAAATTTGCTTGTCAATATAAACTTAGCACAACAAGAAAATAAATAAGCAAATACAGTTAAAAAGAAAAGCCAAAAACGAAAACAGAATGACCCACCAATAAATTCAGAGCCAACATCCCTCATCACCATCATTTTACTCTCAAACAGTACAAGATAAATCTAGCAGACCCAAAAAAGAATAAACAGAATAAAAGAAAGGAGCAAATCCATTTGTTTTTTCACACGAACAGCATATATATATATATATATATATATATATATGGAAGAAGGGTGACAAAGCCAGCATTTAATCACTCAAAAAAAGAAAAAAGAAAAGAAAAACTGATGATAAAAGTAAAATAAAAAAGAAACAGAAACTGCATTTCCAAAAGAACCCAGTAAACAAAAAAAGTAAAATAGAACTTCGATATTTACTTGTCATTGTTATAATCCATCGCCTTCCCTTCTCTCACTCGCAACTACCATAAAGAGAGAGAAAAAAACAAGAGAGATAGCCGTTACACAGAAATAGATCGGCTATATACACTAACAAAACATAATAAATAAATATTGTCAACTACTTGAGTTGTGGGCTTGTAGTAGTATGTTCTCTGCTAGAGATGTCTGCTGCTGCTGCTCTCTCTCTCTCTCTCTCTCTCTCTCTCTCCCCTCTTTTTCTCACACTGGTGAAAGATTAAAAAAGGAAAAAAATAAAAAAGGAAAAGAAAGCGGCGTCTCTCTCTTCTTTCTTCTGTTCTTTTTATTTATTTATTGCATCGAACGAACTAGTATTTGCATTTGCTCTCTCACAGATTTTTATTTTTTCTTTTAAAAAATAAAAGAACAGAAGAAAGAAAGAAATAGAGAGAGAGAGAGAGAGAGAGAGAGAAGACGACGACAGGAATGGACGCTCACTGAGGTCTAAGTAGTCCGTTGCTCCTGGGATTATCTTTAATTATTTGCTTATAATAATAATAATCCAGATTTCTTGCCAAAATTAAAAAACTTGATAAAAATGGTTTTTGGGTTTATATTCACGGATTTTTCCTATGTTTTCTCCACGCTAAAGATTTGGCGCGTGAGTCAACGGTCCAATTCCAGTGTGACAACTGCATAATTTTAGTGTTCCAATGCCCACTTACTTTGCAAGTTAAAGTTGTCCATTCCGGTTCGTTTTGCTCAGAATAATGAAATAAAATAAAACCACCTTAAAAAAAAAAAAAGATAAAACGAAACCAATTCTATCTTCCATATTTCGGCCAAAATGTTTTCTTTTCTTTGGAACGGTTCGGTTGGTCACGTGCCTAAAATATAAACGGGCTCTTTTAGGACTTGGATTAGGCGCGTTGGTTTCGCTCTGTGAAAAGGCATGTGGGGTATGGTGGTATTAATTGGGACGTGGCACAACGTGTGACTTGGTTTTGGATGCGAGAATGTGAAAAGAAGATTGAATAGAAATGTTGGGCCTCGGATTTCTCTTAAATGGGCTTGGATGCTTTGTTGTATGGTTAAATGGTTAGCTCCCAGCAAGTTAATTCATGTGTTAACGAGAGGATTCTTTTTGTTTAAAATTTTAAATTCAAGTTTTTTTATTACTTTTTTTTAAAAAAAATCTACATTTAATTCAATTAGTACCATAAAAGAATGTAATGTTATGAAATAATAAATATTCATTTCATATTCTCACTACTTATATGATTTAATTCATTATTTAATATGAGAAATTAAAAAGATAATGTAATTTATTTAATCATTTATACATCTTTTAATGGTTTATAGTTTCTTTTGATTCTTTTCCTAATCTTAATGCCAATAAATAGGTTTGATGATTTATTAATTTGTGTATAAGTATTTTATAGAGATTGAGAGATTATTTAGATTTGTTATCTCTTGTATTCACTTTATTTTATAGTGAATTCATTTTTCTATTATCTTTCTTTTCAATTCTACTATTATTATCATTTTTTATAACACGTTATTTGCACGGCTTCTAACCTATCGACATAATAGACTAGAGCATTGGTTTCATTTTGTGAAAAGACATGTGGGGTATAATGGTATTAATTGGGACGTGACACTACCTTTTTAACATGTGACTTGGTTTTGGTGCTGGGAATGTGAAAGGAAAACGATGGAATAGAAATTTTAGGCATAGGATTTCTCTTAAATAGGCTTGGGTGCTTTGTTGTATGGTTAAATGGGTAGCTCCCAACAAGTTAATGTATGTGTTAATGAGAGGATCCTTTTTGTTTAAAACTTTAAATTTGAGTTTCTCGATTGCCTATTTAATAAAAAAAAAAAAAAACTATCTACATTCCATTTAATTCAATTAGCACCATAAAAGAATGTAATGTTATGAAATAATAAATATCTATTTCATATTCTAATAATTTATGTAATTCAATTCACTATTCAAGTATGAGAAATTGAAAGGGTGATACGATTAGAAATTGAAAAGGTGATACAATTTATTCAATTCACCATTTAACATATCTTGTTGAAAAAAGAAAAGGCTAATTTTGTATATTAAAATGGAAGTAATTAAAATTAATAACTTGTTAGCTTTTTTTATTTATAAATAAGATATTTTATATTTTTTTATAATTTATATTGCATAGAGATAGTTATAAATTTATTTTACTATTTATTTATCTCGTGTTTATGAAGAATACATTTATTTATTTAATTTGTATTTATTTATCTATTTTGTGTTAATATTATAACTAATAATATCAATTTAGCTTTTAGCTCTAGAAGAGCAATTATATCATTACCTAAAGAGATAAATTTTTGAGTCTCTAGAAGAGCGAATATATTACTTGAAGAGATAACTTTTAAAGGCTCTAGATGAAGGAATATATTATTGCTTGAAGTGACATAATTTAAAAGCTCTAGAAGGAAAAATATGTTATTATCCGAAAGGATAAATTTTATTATACGTAGTATACCATTCTCGCTAAAGTCTCATAGAAATTTATTGAGTTTCAAAGATATTCATCTAAATTGATATCATATCAAGATAGCAAATGTAAAAAATATTGAATGCTTATATATTATAATTATTATATTGGGTAGAAAATATGCATTGAAAAAATTTACTCACTTGCTCTTTTGATCTTTATTACAAACATTAAAATGATTGAAACAAATGATATAGTAAACCGTAAGTTTAGTGATTCAATTACTTTTATTATGTGACATGACTAATTATTTTATTCCGAGTCTTTCATGATGTAAAAAAAAAACTATTAAATATTCATATAGACATCTACCGAAGAGTCGAAGATTTTTTAATTTAATGAATTTTCGTGTTCTCGCATGTCCTCAAGCCAAATTGATTATTAAGTCATCACCAAGTAAAATTGAGATTGAATCTCTAGTATTTTTAGAATATATTCAAGGTGATATACATGGATCAATTTATTCACCATGTGAACCATTTAGATATTTTATGATTTTAATAGATGCATCCACAAAATTGTCACATGTATATTTATTATCTACTTGAAACCTAAGGTTTTTGAAATCACCGACCCAAATAATTCAATTACAAGCATAAGTTTTAAATTATATCATTAAAATAATTCACCTTGATAATATTGGTAAACTTATCTTCTAAGCATTAAATGATTATTAATTAGCTATTAGAATAAAGATTGAACATTTTGTTGATCTTATTCATACTTAGAAAGGTTTAGTAAAATCATTTATCAAAAGGCTCCAATTGATAGCTAAACCATTATTTAAAAACAAAATTCTCTATTTATGTTTAAATACGTATAATCTTACATGCAACGAACGCTTGTTTGCTTCGGACCCCTAAGTTATCAAAAATTCTCCTCCCTTCAATTGATTTATGGTCGTGAGCCAAATATTTCTTATTTAAAAATTTTTGGCGTTGTAGTATATATCCATAGTGCTCCTCTATAACGAAATAAAATGGTCATTTAAAAGAGATTGGGAATATATGTTGAATTTGAATCCTCTTTGATAACTCAATATCTTAAACCATGAATAAGAGATATTTTTCCAGCTCGATTTATCGACTATCATTTTGATGAAATAATTTTTCCAACATTAGTGGGGAAGAATAAGCAACATAAGCGATTGAAAATGTTAAAAAGATATTATATGAAGTACTATATCTTATCATCTTGATCCTCATATAAAACAATGTGAACTAAAAGTTCAAAAGATAATTCATTTATAAGGTATTGCAAACTAATTGCCGGATGTATTCTTAGATCCTAAATAAGTAACTAAAATATATGTCCCCACTAAGAATGCTCATATTAGAATTGATTTCCTATATGGACAATCTATTAATGTTATAACAAATGAATCTAAAGGACGTTTGAAGCGTGAAAGATCGATTGGTTCTAAAAGCAAAAATTCCTAAAAGAAAAGGGCATCATAAAAAAAATACAAGATATTTCTAATAATACGCTTTTGCAAGAAGTCCAAATACTTGAGAAAAATCAAGAGACTTTAATAAATTATATCAATATAGGAAGAAAATAGGATCAAAAAGAAATATTTATTGATAAGATTTTTGCATATAATGCTTCAATTGATATCTTGAATGAAAATAAGGATCCCGAGTCAAAATTTATTGAAGAATGTCAACATAAAGATGATTAGTCTAAATGAAAAGAGCAATCGAGACAAAATTATGTTCTTTTACAAATGAGTAGTTTTTGACCTATAGTCAAAGCACTTGAAGATGTTAAGTCAATGAAATAAAAATACGTATTCATACGAACACAAAATAAGAAAGATGAGATTATAAGATACAAAGTAAGACTTTTAACACAAGAGTTTTTACAAAGACTCGACATTGATTACGATGAGACATATGCTCCTATAATGGATACAATTATATTTTATTATCTCATTAGCCTAGCAAAATATATAAAAAAATTCATATGCACGCATTTAATGGATGTTATCATAGCTTATTTTTTCGAGTTGAAAATGATATTTATATGAAAGTCTTAGAAGGACTTAAGATGCTCGAAGCATGTAATTAATAATCTCGAGAAATGAATTTAATTAAATTATGGAGATCTCTATTGGGATTATTTTAGTATTAGTTTTATTATTTTTTTAAAAAAATTCAATTTATGCTATACTTTTTATATTATTTTTTACTTTTCAATATCTATTCTTTATTACTAACCTATGTACTTATGGTATAATTGTTTCAATAAACATTTATTGAAAGAAGATTGCAAAAATAACCATATTTATTCATGTATTTTTATAAAGAAATTCAAAAAGAGATTTATGATAATTGCTATATATGTTGATGATTTAAATATTATCAAAACTCTTGAAGAGATTTCAAATACCATAAGTTATCTAAAGGAGAATATGATATGAAATACCTTGAAAAGCAAACTTTTATTTCAACCTCTAGTTTGAGCACTTTAAGAACAAGATTTTTATTTATCGATCAATTTATATAGAAAAAATTCTACCATGATTCTATATAAAGATCATCCATTGATTAGCTTAGTGGTAGTTTATTTACTTGATATCCAAAATGATATTTTTTTGACTTTGAGAAGATAACAAAGAATTATTTGATCCCGAAATACTATATCTTAGTACAATGTGTATTGATATATCTTGCTAATAGTACTCGATCCGATATAATATTTTCTATAAATTTATTAGCAAGACATAAGTTTTGCTCCAATATAAAGACATTGGAATGGAATTAAACATTTCTTATATTATCTTCAAGAAAAAATTGATATGGTGTTTATTTTACTCAAATAAATCAAAATCGAGTTTAGTTGGTTATGCTTGATGTAGGTTATTTATCAAATCTATACAAAAATCGATCATAAACGGATTATGTATTTACACTTGGTGATATAGCTATATCATGACATTCTATTAAGCAAACTATAGCTGCTAGATATTCAAATTATCATGTAGAAA